TTTGACAAATCTTCTAATGGTCACTAATGGAAAACCTATATAAAAGGGATGTAAGATTCCAAAACATCCTAATTTTGGATTTGAATAAAATACCTCTCGATGTCGGCATAACAATGGTTCTTCTTCTCTCGAATCTCCTTCTCCTATAAGAAAAGAAACCAAACCCGCAATCAATGCTATAATCTAGAAACCAACTAATAGGACACGAGAAATGAATACTCACGGAGATTGGGTGACGAGACTTGCAAAGAACTCCATTGATGGACAGAACAGAGATGACAAAAATGGCTAACCCTACGAGCTTATAGTTCATAGTTGCTCAACCCTATGAGTCCGTCTTTGAAATATCTGCAAGCGTGCAGTTCTCTTTGAAGGATGAAGGAAGAGGATGTCATGGAAGTAAGCTTACAACAACTTACTGGAGTATTACTTATTTATAGACCACATAAACAGTTTAAAATATAAATAATGCTACTTGCACACCAATTGCAATCCATTCATCATTCTGAATGAATACATCTCAAAGAAGAAGAATCGCTCAAATCAGACAATTAAAATTTAAAAACTGTCAATTATCTAAAGGATGAAAATTAAAAAGGGAAATAGAGAGTAAACACATAAAGTTGGGGATTACATCATACCTGGACTACTGGAGGGTGGTGCCGTGGAGGGCGGAGGCAGCGGCGCAGTGCGGTGGCGTCTTAGGCGTTGCTTTTCAGAAATCGCGGATTCATTTTCCCCTCTCCGCAATTCTTCTGAATCCTTCAAATATTTTGAGGGGGATAAAAACAAAACTAAGAGTAAAAGATACAAACAAAATTGCTGTCAGGTACACTCGATAAAAACTTTCAGTACCATTATTTTTCTAAATATCTTCTAGGGTACCTTAATTATCTCTTTCTTCTTTCTTTCCAGCTTCTTTCCTTCTTTCTTGCATGCTTTTTTTTTCTCTTTCCAATTCCCATTAGAGACCCCCCCACCCCACCCAAATCCCTCCCCCCTTTTTTTCTTCCTCTATTTTTTCTTTTCTTTTTCTTTTTCTTTTATTATTATTATTATTATTATTATTATTAGTTATTATTATTTTATTATTATTTATTGTATTATTTATTATATTTTATAATAATTATGATTATTTATTTTTATCATTTTACTTAGTTATTAGTTTTACTACTATAACTTTTTTAGAAAAATAAACTTAAAACCCCATTAAAAACAATTGTATGCCCACATTGACCTTTCCCAATTTCCAATTTTCACTTGCATAAAAAAGGTTAACATATTTTAAAGCTTTAAGTAAAAATTACTTTTAGTAATATATTTATGTATCGTTTATAAAAAATATGTATTCCCTTGGTTATAATTTTACGTCTTAATTCATTATATTAATATGAAATGTAACATCATTTTTATCGTTTTACATTTTTTATAAAAAATTCCTGAGAAATTTACCCGTCTTATTCTTATCACAAGTCCTCTCATTTTCTAGATTACCCACTATCAGTGGCGGCTATCGCTGACCACCACATGACTAATGCGAAAGAAACTTGGAATGACAAAAAATTAGAGTAGTAAAAATACTAGCAATTGTTTTTAATTATAATAGTAATAAGTTTTAATTTAAATAATAATTAGTGTTATTTTTACTTAAAAATAGTGTAACAAAACTACTAATTAAGTTTTAATAATAATAATAATAAATTTAAAAAATAGAAGGAAAATAAAACAATAAGAAATATATAATAATTAATACAAAGTAATTATTCTTACCTTAGAAAAAAGTAGATATAAAATATAATGAAAATGAAAAAAATAACTAAAACCATACAAAGTTAATCAAATAAATAATGTAATCAATATAAATTAAACAGAAACTGGTAAGAAGTAAAATAAATATATACGGAGTGGTGGGTTTTAACATTTTACACACTATACGGAGTCTTAATGTACAATTTATTTTTTAAAAGAACAAGCCGTCCTGTAAAGTTGGAATTATTGTAGATAAGTTTTTCTAAAAAAAATAAGAAGTGATATGTTAATACTTTGTATAATGCGTAAAATATTAAAACTCACCTGTATATTTTTATTTTACTTTTACCAATTTCAAGTTAGTTTCCATTGATTACCTTATTTATTTTATTATTTTTGTATCATTTTAGTTACATTTCTCATTTTTTTAATTTTTTATACTCCGTATCTATTATTTTTTTTAAACTAAGACTAATCTTTAAAAAAGGAAAAAGAATGAAAATTCATAAAAAATAATCCCAACTTTCATTTTGTTGCCTAAAATAGGCATTTCCGTTAAGCCTCCGTTAGAAATTTAACGGTGACCCACAACTGACAAATTTCAGTAAAGTTGGGATTACTAATTTACTATGCATCACAGTGAAAGGTGAGATTATTTTTGAAAGACCAGGTAAAGTTGGGATTATTTTGGATAATTTTTATTAAAAATAATATGGAGCAGTTTATAATAATAATAATAATAATAATAATAATAGTAATAATAATAATAGAATACAATGAAAATAATAATAAATACTCCCTATGAAATAATAATAATAATAATAAGTATTGTTATTTTTCTAAAAAATATAGTACTAGACTCTTTGTAAAAAATGAGGGGGAGGGGGGGCACTGGTCTCTAATGGGGATTGGGAAGGTGTGAGGGTGGGGGGGGGGGGCTGGTATAAGAAAGAGAGAAAAAGAAGAAAGAGAGAAA